TTATAATGAAAACACTTCTCAAGTTCAATTTCCTTCTCAGATTAATACCCTTAATTTATTCTTTGCTAACATTGATTTACAATTTACTCTTACTTCTTCCCACATTGCAACTAATTCTCCTCGAGCCCAACCCTAGCTATTTGCTCAATTTATTAATTATATTATATCTACTAACACCCTTATGATTACTATTAACTCTCTCTTTGTACCTGAAGCTTATCTTCAAGCCAATTTAGATCTTAATACTACTCCTTTAAATACTCCTTCTCAACTTCAACCACAACTTCCTACTATACTATTATTAATAGAACCAGATCAAGATCCTCATCTTATTGTTGATATACCAGAAGAAGAAGAAGCTAACAACTAAACCTCTGAAACTAAAACAAACTCTATTGTAATTGACAAAGAACCAGAAGAAGATATAGATAATACTGTACTTAGAGCTATTGCTAAAGTAATAAATGCTGTTGCTAATGCTTTAGGATATGATAATGAAAAATTGCTTATCAAAATTAATTTTTATCAGATTTTTAAACCTAAACCTGAACTGAACTTTAAATTTATAAACTTGAACTGAATCTGAACTCAAAGTTTTGGTTCAGTTCAAGTTCAGTTCAAGTTCATGAACATGTTCAAGTTCAATAAATTATATATATATATTATATATTATCAAAATAATCTATCTCCAATAATAAGTTTTTTTTTTTTTTTTAGAAGAAAAACAAAAATTTCTTAGATCTAAAAATAAGTTATTTATATAATTATCAGTGGTTACTCTATAGTAAAGTCAAAATTTTACTAAATAAATCGATTTATCTTATTAAGTAAAAGTTGTTCAAAAGATCAAAATACATATATTCTAAAAGTTTTATCTAAATTAGATAACCTTTTATTAATATATTTTTGTATATTACATTTGATAAATTTTTTAAATTTTTTTAAAATTTATATTCGTTGAATATAAAAATCAAAAGTCAATTAATAAAAAGTTATCTGATTTATATAATATTTTTAAAATAGGGTTATATAATTTAGCGCACTATCGCTTTAGCATATGCATATATAGAGTATACTATCACATGATATATGCCAATATATCGAATAAATTAAAATTCACCTATACTAACTTAGTCTCTCTAAAGCAAGACTTGATATTTTAGTGATGCCCAAAATAAAGTCAAAACAATATGTATATTGAATTAAGAACTACTTTGCAAATAAGCATGTTGATTTATATGTTCATTTTTATAGCATTTGTTCGATGATTAATTCTTTCTGATATCAATTAATTCAAACAAAAAAAATTTACATACAATCTAACTTACAACTCATATTTAATAAAAAGATTCTGTTTTAAAGTATATGATACTATCTAACACGAATATGAAAAATAGTACATAAATTGATTTTTCATATGAATTAAACAATTGAATTCATTTACATCAATGACAGTTGTAAACCTATATTTTTAAACAGTACCTATATTAGCATTTCAAATCGGTTGTATTGAAATTACACATTGAGAATTACATATATTTCATATAATAAATTTATACTTTACTATACTTCTTCTGATAATGACCCACACCACCATATTTTTTGCAACACCTTTGTTGTTTTTTCTTGCTATTCTGTTCACATGATAACTTTAACCGTTTTGTCCCTGCTGGTCGACCTTTTCCACGGTTTCTCTTCGGATTTTGCAGCACAAACTCATGATTTTCTTTATTATCATCGCTTCCTTTCTCAGGTTCTTCCTCAGGTTCTTCATCAGACTCTTCATCTGATTCTTTATCAGATTCTTCATATTCTTTTTCGATAAAATCTTGTAATAGCTTGAGAAGCTATTGTGATTTCACTTTTGTTTGTAATGCTTTTTTATCGCTTTCTTATACATTCCATGTAACTCACCATAGAACATTCTTTATTGAGATAAATTTTGACTCTTTTCAAGAAAATCTTGATTGTCTTGAAGAAATGTGCATAGTTATGTAATAGGTACGGATGGTTCATGCTGTGATATTATCCTATTATCGTTAATAAACTTGTTCGCAGTAAAAAAAGGTTCCTTTGAACCATCAAGATTATTGTAATACCATCAAGAAGAAATAAGGCGAATATGAAATTTCGCTATATCTATTGCAAGCATTACTCGAAAATAATGCCTACAAACTAAACCTTGCTGAATAATAAAAAGACATGTGCAAACATGTAAATTATTCTTTAAAAGTACTAGATAATGCTTCACTGTTGTTACATTGCTGACAGATACAGTCCAAATTTCTGTTACATTAGCTAATCCTTCTACTAAAACAATAACTTGCTTTAATGTGATTTGTTGGATTTCTATATTAGTTGTGTCTTGAATTTCTGGCTCACTATCAGTCTGAATTAATAACTATACAGTTGATATATATAGATCATAATTAAACTATATATATAAGGGTGTGGTGACTTAGTGAAGTGGTGAAGTTGTCGCACCCCCAAGCGGTTGAGTACAAGTTCAATTCCCACTAGAGACGAAAATTGAATTTCGAAAAA